GTGACTCGGGACATCTGTACCCTCGTCTCCCTCGCTGTCGTCCCGAGGTCTCCGACGACGTCCCCAATACGGTCGGAGAGGCCCCCAAGAGGCCAGCAAGACGGCCCAAGAGTGCCCCCAGACAGCCCAAGATGTTCCCAAGATGGCCCCAAGATTGCCATAGAAACCTCCAAGACGGCTCTCAGGCGAGCCCCAAGACGGCCTCGGAAGGCCGAGAGGGCCCATGGAGGCCCCCAGGAGGCCCCAAAGAAAGTCCCCAAGAGGCCCCAGGAGAACCCCAAGAGGACCCAGGAGGCCACCAATAGGCATCTCATACCCCCCCCCCCCAAAGGCTCCTAGTAAGCCCCCAGAAGGCCTCAAGAGGGCCTCAAGAGGCCTTCTCCTTCCCCCTCCCTCTTGTCCCCCCTTCTCTTCCTCTACCCAGTGTTCCTCCAAGGGGTTCCACATGGGCTGGGTGAACTTTTTTGATTCGCGGGCCGAGAGCGCACCTCTTCCGGTCGAAGCTAAGCGGGCCGCGCGAAGCTTGAATTAACAAAGAGGAGGGGACAGAAGGAGAGCGGCCTCACGGCAAGGCCAGAAGGGGGGCTGGGTGAACACATAGTCCAATAGCCTGGTCAGACGTCGGCCCAACGTTTGGCCGCACGGGCGTTTCCAGGAGTCATGGGGCGGCGGTGATTCGCTGTAGGCTTATTAAACCCTGAAGACTCAGGACAGAGGAATATAGGGGTCCCGAGAAAACTGCAGCTCTTGCCTTGCGGCACAGTGGCCGATGAGACGCCCTGCCTGAATCCCCCTACTACCATTTTCTTCCTCGCAAGTCCTGCCCACCTGCACTCCAAGGTCGGGGTTCGTGCCCCTAATTATCGAATTTCGCAACATCCGGCGTTTCGAGTTTCGGGTCATCCATTCTTCGCTAGAAGGCAAACGTTGGATCCCCGCTAGACATCATCCCGGGCAGTTTTTCGAAGCCTTGGCTACAAGGGCTCCCCAGGACCCCCCAAAAGGACCCGCTCGAGGATCAGCAGGAGCAGCAGCAGGAGGAAGGAAGACGAGGAGCGAAATTTAGATGGGCCCTGGTTGAAATTCGCTGAAAACTTACCCGACTCCTCCCGGGGTCCTCTGGGGGCGTCCAAGAGTGGGGCGGGTCACTGTCTTACCTCGATGATTCACCGCATTTGCCCTTGGCTGTCACGTCTCAGTTCACTGTGCTGGTCGCCGTGTTTGGTCCGCGTTTCATTCCACTCATCGGCTGGTCTGGCAGTTGTTACAGTTCTTTCTTTCGCTTCATTGTCTAACACGTCTCTTCGGTGATTCAATGGCCGCCAATTCCCACCATATTGTTCGCGCTTCAGTTTACTTCGAGTTGAGTTGCCTCCTCGTTTTACTGGCCGCTGCACGTTTCGCTTGGATTTTTAGCCCTTTTTTCACACAGCCCATTTCTGCATTTGACAGTGTGCTCTGTTTGTACACTGTGCCTTCGACAATGTTCGATCGCAGTTAGCACTTCCACCTGCTGCTCGCGCCTAAGGACCCTTTTGCGCCGTTAGCTTAACAGTGTCTCCGCCTCGTCGCTGCGCGCGAGGCTGCTACTGGCAAACAGTGTGTGTATATATGTATATATATATATATATGTGTGTGTGTGCGTGGGTGTTTCATGCAGCCGTGGTCGGCGTCTTCGTTAGTTTTGCGAGAACCGTCTTCGCCATCCATGCCTGGATGGCTGACGCCTGTAGGATTGCATCCTAAACGATGCTCAATGGCCAGGCCGCCGCGCGCACTGTTTACGCTTTCCCCGCCTCGTCGCCGCGCGCGAGGCCGCTACCGCAAAACAGAAGTGTGTGTGTGTTGTTTGTGTGGAACTCAAGGCCAAGGCCATGAAATCGCCTAGATATCATGGCTTCCTCTTCTTTCAAGACGTTCCGGGTCCCCGATCGTCCGCACACAAGCCTCCGGCCACGATGCGCTGACTCTCCTCTTCCTGGCCCCCCCTCTTCGGCGCACCAGGCGTCCGTATCCTGGCCCAGCCTCTGAGCCGTGAGCGGGCCATGGCGACCTGGACCCCCAGAAGCGCCCCCCCCGAACCTGCAGGACGACGGATGTGAATGAGGACCAACGTCGACGTCGAAGTCGCCTGCACACAGAGGCCTCCAGGCATCCACGGAGGTTCCCAGGCACCGACAACTACGAAAAACCTTAGTCCTGCTTTCTGCAATCTTTCGGAAGGCATGGGTAGGTCGGGATGCAACTCCTGAGAGGAGAAATTTCGAATCGGCGCTGGTACATCCCTCGTCGAAAACTGGCTGAATCTTGCTTGATCCTGGTAATTCTGGGCTGATCCCATGGAATCTTGCTCAATCCCGCTCAGTCCGGCTTAGTCCTAGTCTCACTCTGGCCTCTCGGTGGCCCCATCGTCGGGCTTGATAGCCTTCAATCGTCCTGACGAAGACCTCCCAGGATGTGCCTCCTCGGGCAGGTGCGCAGCCGATGCCCTCCGAGCTTGCGCCCCCCCTGTGTCCAGATTGTGTCAACCAATCCCCTCTGCCCCCTGGCTGACCCAAGAGGAGGAGGAGGAGGAGGAGGAGGAGGAGGAGGAGGAGGAGGAGGAGGAGGAGGAGGAGGAGGAGGAGGATGAGGAGGAGGACGAGGAGGAGGAGGAGGAGGAGCAGGAGAAAGAGGAGGACGAGAAGGAGCAGGCGGAGGAGGAGGAGGAGGAGGAGGAGGAGGAGGCGAAGGAGGAGAAACAGAAGGGCGAGGGACGGATGAGAGGGAGGAGAAGGGGAAGAGGAGAGGGACGAAGAGGTGGAGGAGGAGGAGGAGGAAGAGGAAGCGGAGGAGGAGGAGGAAAAGGAGGAGAAGGAGGAGAAGGAGGAGGAGGAGGATTAATCATAATGATAATCGCACTACCACTACTGCTACTACTACTACTACTACTACTGTTACTGCTACTACTAGTACTACTAGTACTACTGGTACTACTAGTACTACTACTACTACCACTACTTCGACTAATACTAATATTTCTATCAAACATTACAATAAAACTTATAATGAGGATAGTCATATTCGTTATGACTAATGATAACAATACGTATCATAATCATGGTAATCGTAGTACCAGGTTTATTATTACGATTGGTACGCACATTAATACTAATATTTGTAATACGACCATTACTGATAATAAAATTGTTATTTCTACGAGTGAGACAACCATAGTATTCATTCTAGTACCAATACTTATACTGACATTACTACTGCTACTACTACTACTGCTACTCACACTTTTATTTTCAATAATACTAAGACGAATCCTTGATACTAGTTATACTACTACTACTACTACTACTACTACTACTACTACTACTACTAATACTATTCGCAGTATCACTTATATCATTTTGTGTAGTAGTGACAAAACTCGTTTTAATAATCATCAGAAGACTATCAATAATTGTAATACTCGTAATTCTACTACTACTACTACTACTACTACTGCTACTACTACTACTACTACTACTACTACTAGTACTATTAATACTGGTACTAGTACTAGTACTACTATTATTACTACTACTACTATTGATGCTATGAGTACTAATATTACTAATATTTTTATTACTACTACTACTACTTTTAATGCTACTGTTACTACTAATAAAATAGTAATAGTACTATTGCTACTACCCGTACTACTACTCCTTCTTACTACGACTACTACTACTACTACTACCACTACCACTACTACTACTACTACTACTACTGCTACTACTACTACTACTACTACTACTACTACTACCACTACTACTACTACTACTACTACTACTACTACTACTACTACTACTACTACTACTACGACTACGACTACGACTACGACTAGTACTTGTACTAATACTAATACCAATACTAGTACTAATACTGACGCTAATACTATTATTAATACTAGTACCACTATTAGTACTAATCTTAATACAATTATTAACACTGATATTTTTGTTATTATTATAATAACCCTAATGATCGCTGTAGTATTGCAGTTACATCCAGGCAGATTTGGGTGAATCCCCGCAGATCCAGAGATCTCCGTGGAAATCTTGAGCAGGTCGCGGCCGCCCCAGCTCGATTCGAGGGACGGCAGAAGTCGTTGAGCCTTAAACGACAACGGGGGGTCAGCCAATCCACTGTGGCCCCTGGCTGACCCAGGTTTGGTAGCCGCGTGGGGCCGATTGCCCCTTGCCGCCGTCCGCTGGCCCGGGTTTGGGAGCTACTCAGCGGTCAGCCGGGCTTCGCAGCAGGGCCCTGGCCGACCCAGGTCAGGGCTGACCCAGGCTAGTGCGTACCCGAGGGCAACGTTGGGGGGGACATGCTCAGGGGGGGAAGTTCGGTAGCAAGTCAGGGGGGCCTTGCCGGGCCCCATCGGCGATGAGTGGGCCATTCGGGGCCGGTCGATGTATCCCCTTTTGAGCCTGTCCGATGCAGCAGATGCATACGTTGAACGTTGATCGATTTTGCAGAAATGTGTCTAGGGGCGCACGGTTAGGTCGACCTCGGACCTCGCTCGATGCCCCATGGCTCCAACGGGTGTCCTGGGACGTCGGCGAAGAAATCACGTGTGTGGGGCACGTGCCAGCATGCAATTTCCTTGTTTGGTGTACTGTGGGGACCCGCGGGCTCGGGGCCCGCTTCTGATATATGGGCTCGCCGTGCAGCGCCGTCTCTCCCCTGCACCTGCTCCTCCTCCTCCTCCTCCTCCTCCTCCTCCTCCTCCCCCTCCTCCTCCTCCTGCTCCTCCTCCTCCTCCTCCTCCTCCTCCTCCTCCTCTTCTCCTCCTCCTCCCCCTCCCCCCCCCCCCCTCCTCCTCCTCCTCCTCCTCTCCTCTCCTCCTCTCCTCTCCTCCTCCTCCTCCTCCTCCTCCTCCTCCTCCCTCCTCCTCCTCCTCCTCCCCCTCCTCCCCTGCCTTCACCGCGCGTGCTAGCCCCGTGGGCGCGGCGACGGCGGCGATGGCCGAGGCCAGCCGCGCGCCAGCTGGCGGGGGCGGCTGCGAGCCCGCCGGCCCCGCGGCAGCGGCGGCGGCGGCGGGCGGCGGCGACTGCTGCGTGGTCGTCGAGGAGACCACCCCACCCTTTCGGCGGCGGTCTGCGACGACGATCACAGCGGCGTCGGCGGCTGCGGCGACGGCCGATGACGCTTCCAACGACGACGGCGAAGCTGACGGCCGCGGCTGCCGCCGCTGCCGCCATCGCCGCCACTGCCGCAGCCGCCGTCGCGGTGGTCGTCGTAGGTGTGGTCGTCGCCCTCGTCGTCGCCGCCGGGGGGCCCCGAGACGCCCCGAGGAGGCCCGCCAGCGCCCTCGGCGCCGGCCCGCGCCGCTCTGCTCCGACTGCGTGCCGTGCGAGATCTGCGGCGCGATGGTGCCGTTCGACAGCCCAGGGCGAGCAGAAAGCTGAGGCGCACCTGCCCCACCCGTTTGCGCTCGGAAGTGACCAACTCGCCAGAGTGCGCGTCCCAGACCCAAATCTACTGTGGCCGCCTTCCTACTTCCAAAGTCGAGCGGCTGTCCCTCCTACCTCGTCCTCGGGGTGGGGGCAGAAGGCCCAAACTGTTTTCGACGCCTTCACGTTTCTGTATGTTGCTGCCCACCTCGGCCGACCGGCGGGCAGCCGGGTGCGGGCCCGCGGGCCGCCCGAGCGCGGGCCTGCGGCCTGGGCCCGGCCCCGCCACGGCGCCGAGCACGTCCCGCGCAAGAGGCACTCCCGCCCAGGGCCGCTCGCTGCATGCCGGCGGCCCGCCCTCCCCGCCTCCAGCACTCGGGCGTCGCGTGCTTCGCGGCGCCTGCTTGGCGCTGGCACGCTCAGCTTGGAATTCTTCCGCGCCCGAGTGCCCTCCGCCTCCGCCTGTCCTCCGCGGCCGCTTTGTCTGTCTTGCTCCCCAGCTTGCACGACGGCCAGTTGCGCACCGTTGCCCCGGATCGCTGCTCGCTGGTCAGTTCTGCCGCACCGCTGACGGAAAAGTGCTTCGCGGCGCCGTGCCGCAACCCGCCGTCGGCGTCTGTCGGGGCAAGACCCAGTGGGCGCTTTGGGTGCACAGTTCGGGGGCAACGATAGGGGGATGGGCATAGGGGGGGACGCCTCGACCCCCGATCGCCCATTGATCGCCGACAGGGCCCGATGGCCCCAACCCGCCCAGGATCGCCGATCTGCCGACGGTGTATCGCCGATTCCAGGTCGAGGCGTCCCCCCTTTGTGCCAGTCCCCCCCCCCACCGTTGCCTCTCAACAGTCGAGTGGGCGCCCGCCTCCACCCCTCACCCACGATGCGCTCACCGCGCCTGGTGTGGCCGCGCGCCTGCCTCTCGAGAGGGCCGGAGGGGCGGCGAGGTCTGCAGGGGGGAGCAGGCGGGCACCACCAGCCCAGGCCGCCTCATGCTTCGCTTCGGGCCGAGGAGGCGCCCCGATCGATGCAGCCTGGATTTCGCGAGAACCCTCGGATCTGGAGGTCGTGAGGCCACTCGCCACGGGCGTCCCTTCTCCCGTTCGAGCCCTGAGTCAGTCACGGCTCGGCCCAGTCCGAGGAGTGGCACGTGCAGACGGGGTCGGGAGCTTTGGCCGTGATTGTTCCAGGGCGTTGTACGTCAGGCCTCGTCCTCGCCTCGCCCCCTCCCGCCTTCCTCGTTCTTCGAGGTGCGGGGTGGGCAGGTGTGCCTGTGTTCTGCTTCCTGGACAGTTGGGTGGAGCACGCCTCGACCCACGACACTCTTCCGCCGCCCGTGCGCAGCACTGTGCGGCAGGGCGAGCCGGAAGGTGACGACTGCGTCGCGGTCGAGACCCCCGCCAACAGTGCGTCTCTCCAGCCCTCGCAGCGCGGGGCTGGAGCGGAGCCCCTGGATGGCAACGACTGCCTTGAGGTCGACTCGCAGGCGGCCCGCAGCGTGGCCTCTGGCTCCAGATGCGTGGCGCCTGGCACGGCGGGCGACTGCGCGGTCGTCGACCCGCGGGACGCCTGCGCCGCGCCCTTCCCTGGCGCTGGGTTGCCCACGCCGCGGCGGAAGCGCCCGCGCCGGGCCCTGGGGGGCGCAGCTGCGTGGCCACCGGCGGGTTCGCCGCCCGACGCTGGCGAGGCCGCCGCGTTTGCGGACAGCGACGTGGAGGTCTGCTGCGAGTTCCCAGGCAGCGGCGACCTCTCGGGGCCTGGGCGAGGTGCCGGGGCCCTCGGCGTGAGCGTGAGCGCGGGCATCCCGTGCGACCTCTGCGGCGCGCAGGTGCCCACGGCGGACTTTCCCGCGCACGCGGCCGCGCACGTCTCAGAGAGCCGCGGGGCGTCCAGCTCCAGCGGCGCCGGGATCGCCGTCTGCAGCGTGTGTGGCACCGTGGTGGCGCCGTGCGAGCTGGCCGACCACGAGGCGGCCCACCGGGTGCACCAGGAGCTGGTGGAGGCGGAGCTGCAACAGTCGACCTCGGAGGTGGACATCGCCGTGCAGCTGGTGAGCATGGCGCGCCAAGGCGGCTCTGGGCTGCTTGGTAACCGGAGGAGTATGGACCCTGGTGATGCCATCCTGGCGCGGTGGAGCGACGGCCATTGGTACCATGGCCACCTGCAGTCCGCAGGCTCTGGCAACCTGGTCACCGTGAGCTGGGATCCGCCGTGCAACTCGTGGGCACCCGAGGCAATATCGGTCAACGACATCATGCCCCGGACAGAGCAGGCCAGGGAGGTCTGCAACTTCGACGTGGCGGTGGCCTTCGTGAAAAAGATGAGGTCCATGAGCGAGGCCGCGGGCTCTCTGGAGATAGTGTACCACTACACGAGGGGGGAAAACGTCCATCAGATCGTGGAGAACAGCCTCAAGGTTCCAGGCACCACGAACGCTGACGGGTCGAAGGTGACTGTCAAGAACGGGTCGGTGTATGTCGGCGGCGAGCGAGGGGGGGAAGTGAGAAGGAGAAGGCCTTCTCTGAAGGCGGCGGGACTTCTCAGAAACCCTCGCGCCTTCTGAACAGTTTCCTGTGTCTTCGGGGAATTCTTCGAAAATTCTTGACGCTCCGCGTACCCCCTCTAGTTTCAGCCACCCCTCCAGGTCCCCATGGCCCTCAGCGAAGTGCGCCTTGGTTGTGGACCTGACATTGCTGTGGCACGGGCCCAGCGTGGGGCCCCTCGGCATGGCGTCGTGCCAGCGACTCGGTTGCACCCCAACGTTCATTCACAAGTATCTGGGGCTGTTGGCTGCGCCCCCAGCGTTGTGTATGGACATCATGGCCGTAGAGCGGACAGGTTCAGCCACCTCAACGGGTCACCACGGCCCTCAGCAAAATGGGCCCTTGTTGAGGACGTGCCAGTGCCGTGACACATCCCAGTGAGGAGGCCATGGACACGGCTGTCTTGCCAGCTGCCCTTAGGTGCATCCCCCCCGCGTTCATTCACAAGTCTCTGCGGCTCTTGTCTGCGCCCCCAGCGTTGTGAATGGACACCATGACAGAGGAGCTGACAGGTTCAGCCACCCCATTGGGTCGCTGTGACCCGGTTTCGCTTCCAGCCGGGCCAGGACGCACATGTCGCGCAAGGCCTGCCCGAGCTAGCCACAATGTGATTTCCCCCAGACTCCCTGGTCGACACGACGTGGTACCTCGGCTGGTCGCCACTGCGTACGCTGTCATGAGGACGCGTGAGAGTGGCTTCCCCCCATGGCGCCGCCGCGGCCAGCGGGCCTCCCATGCCTGCGGGTCCGGCCCGCATGGTACGGTTCGGGGCGATCCAGGTGCTGGGCTTCGGCAAGGTCAGACCGGCGTACCTCGCCGCTTCTGGTGCCACCCGATGTCGGGCCTTGTTTGGGCGTGTTCCTGCACAAGTGGTTCATCCTTTGGCAGGTCATCGCGGATCCCCCGGCAGGTCCGTCGTATGTGTCCCGGTTACGCTTGCGACTTTGTGCCCCCGATCCTCTGTGTCGGATAAGTTGCGCGCGGTGAACGCCGGCGACGTCGACGACAGATTCCCTGACTGGGGTCGTCGCCTTCGCGTTCAAGCTCCTGCACAAGTGGTTCATCCTTTGGCAGATCTTCACGGTCCTCCCGGCAGGCTGGGCCAGGTGACTTGACCAGTGCTTGCAGCTTTACGCCCCCGGTCTTCCGTGTCGGACAAGTTGCAGGCTGTGGACTCAGACGACATGGTCGACTGGTCCTTGACTGGGTACTGGTCGCTCTCATGCCCAAGAGCATCCTGTGATTCACTGTGAGTGAGGCTTCTATCTGTGCCTTCCCATTTTCCTGCTGCCGCGTGTCCTAGCGCCCGCCGTGTCTCTCCTGTTCCTTTGCTTCACCTTTTGTTGCATGGACGGTGCGGCCACGCCTGGCCACCCCGTGCCGCCGCAGTGCGGCGTGCTCCACGCCCTTTCGCGCTGTTCGGTGCGGTCGGAGCATGGCGCCACGTGTGCGACAGGTCCTTTCCGTCCGCTTCCGGTTCTGTGCTTGCGTTCCCCTCTGTCGGGCCGCCTGCGTCAGCCCCCAATGAGGGTCATTTTGTCCCTGGCATGTGCGCTCGCTACAGCGGCCTAGGCGCCTCTGCAGCCAATTATCTCGCTCTGTGCCCCAGTCGAGTCCATTCCGCTTCCTGGATCTGTCCCCGGAGCCGCCAATCAAAAAAGTACCCCCGCTGGCTCAAGCCGCTCTGGCCCAAGCTGCGTGCCGTCAGGAGGCCTCTGCCCGTTCCCTTCCCTTCACTTGTTTCTTTTTTCCCGTTCCACATTTCCGTGATGAGCGCGTGGCTTTCTGGCGGGGCCTGGTCAGAGTGGCAGGGCCCACGAGGTTGGTGCAGTCAAAGTTGGCGCAGTCAGCATGGCCCCCCACATGGTACTCAGCGACGTTGGTACAGCCAGTATTGACATAGTCAGCAGGGCCGCGTATTCGACCACGCCATCACAGTCTGGGCAGTCCGCCGCGCGAGACAGCGCGCGGCTCGTCAGCGAGCAGAACAATCTACTTCTCCGTCTGGACCAACATGTGACGCTTCGGCGGCCCCGCCAGCAAACGACCCTGCCACAGACTGCGATCCCGAGGTCGTCGTTTTTCTGTGTCAGCATGGTCTTGGGATGTATGCGTCGAGCTTCGCTGAACATAACTTTGGGCGCATGGCGGAGGTGCGGCTTACGAGTGATCGACGCGTGCGCGACATCGGCTTACGACCTGGTCATTCCATAAGTCTTGCTACAGCACTGGGCCAGCAGGCTGCAGCTGAACAGGGGGCCTGTGTCGACACTTTCCTGGAACCGCCTGGCCTGCGCGGCTGTCCAACAAAGCTGCCCCGCGGCGTGGCCGCGACGCAGGCCCAGCGCACCGACGGATGGACTGGCGCCCCGCCTACGCAGGGCGTTCCCCTGAGACTGACTTTTCTCCTCCCTCCCTGCCCATGATTCCTCGAGATGCGACGGTTCGCCACCTGCGCTGGGAAGATTGCGAAATGGGTCGCCTCCACCGGGAAGAGCGCGAAGATAGTCGCGAATCGCAGGAGGAGGACCAGGAATTAGTCAGGGAGGACCTTGCCGACCGTCCAACACAACCCACTGGCAGCGCGACCTCTTGGCACGCCCAACCGCCTCGTATTCCAACGGGCCCTGCGACGGTCAGTCGCCGCCACCGGGAATAATTTGATGATGGTCGCGAGTCGCACGGTGAGGGGCGGGGGGGAGACAGAGAGGACTTTGCCGACCGTCCGACACAACCCACTGGCAACGCGACCCCTGGGAACACCCAGCCGCCTCGGATTCCAACAGACTCTGCGATCGTCGTTGACGCGCGACGGGAAGATTGCGAAATGGGTCGCGAGCCACAGGGGAAGGGGCAGGGAGGAGACAGAGAGGACCTTGCCGACCGCCCAACACAACCCACTGGCAACGCGACCCGTGGGAATGCCCAGCCGCCACGGATTTCAATGGTCTCTGCGACGGTCAGTCGCTTCCACCGGGAAGAGTGTGAAGATAGTCGCGAGTCGCAGGGTGAATGGCAGGGGAAAGACGGAGAGAACCTTGCTGACCGTCCAACACATCCCACTGGCAACGCGACCTCTGGGAACACCCGGCCGCTTCGGATTCCAAGGGATTCTGCGATGGTTAGTCACCTACACCGGGAAGTGTGCGAAATGGGTCGCGAGCCGCAGGAGAAGGGGCAGAGGGGAGATAGAGAGAACCTTGCCGAACGTCCAGCGCAACCCACTGGCGACACGACCCCTGGGAACACCCAGCCGCCTCGGGTTCCAATGGCCTCTGCGACGGTCAGTCGCCTCCACCGGGAAGAGTGTGAAGATAGTCGCGAGTCGCAGGGGGAAGGGGGGCCCATCGCTGGGGAGCAGACCGTCGAGGAGACCGTCGAGGGAGCGGCGGAGGAGTCCCTGGAGGAGAAGTGCGAGGACGAGGAGAGCGAGAGCATCCCAGTGGACGACCTGGGTATCGCGGTGGAAAGACAACAGGACCTTGGAAGACGAGGCCGCAGTCCAGCGAATGGTGGACAGCGGGCGACTCACTGCTCTCCGCCCCTCCGCCGCGCGTCCACCAGGGGCACCCGTGCCCGAGCATGCGACCGGCCCGCTGCATGCGCCGCCCGCTGCAAACGCGGACGCGCCGCCTCGGCGGGCGGGCTTTGCCCGCGAGGTCACCCCTGCACTGGCGTCCACTTCGGCGGACCGTGCGGAGTCGCAGGGCGACGGGGGCCCCCAGCCGTCGCCCGCCGCTGACTCCCCCAGCCGATGGCGACCCAGTGTCCGAACTGCGCTGGCCCAGCCGAAGACCGCGTCGACCCCGACGATCACCGCTGCCAACGCTGCGACCGTCAACGCTGACTCGTCCCCGCGCGTGCCGCCTGCACGTGGAGACGGGGCGGGCCTGGACGCATCGCTTACTATGCCCTCGCCCCCCGATTCTTCCAGGTCGCGTGCGAGCGCAGAGCTGGGCGCGGGCCAAGCAGCGGAGCAGTCGCCTGACGAGTCTGCTTTGGGGGCCGGGGCGCTCGTGGACGACCCGCTGGCCCTCGTGGAGCGGGTCAAGGCGTGGCAATGGGCGGGGGGGGCACGCCGGTGGCGTGGCTTCTGTCGCGCCAACGAGGCGATGGGGGGTCCTGGCACTTGCGATCCCGCGCGCCGCGAGCCTGACGTCCTCCGCCGGTTCCTAGCGCTCACGGGGAAACACCCAGACTGCGACGATTATTTCGAAATGGCCCTCACCACGATGAGCCGCCGTACCTAATGGAGCGCGTTCGGGGCGTCATTCGCTCGTCCCCGGATAGCCTTGCACAGCGGGTGTGGCGCGCTATCGACTACAAGGAACCTGGCAAAGGCAGAGCCCGGCCTTGCAGTGTACAGCGCCCTGGGGCTCCCACCGACGCTGGCCCGCTCCACTTTAGGCCTGGGGTGCTTGCCGCGGCCCTGGGGGCCAGCCTGGCGTGCTGCCCTCCCCGCGCCGGGAAGTCCTTCGCCGCCTTGTGGCTGTGCCTATGCGCCGGGCTTTCGAGTGTGGGTGGCGCGTGCAATCGGACATGGGCTAAGTGTGCCTGGAGTTCCTCGAGCGTTCAGTGATCAAATGCCATCTCCTCCTCCCCTCGGCGACTGGTGCGCGACCGTCTCCTCGCTGTCCCCCGGGAAAGGTGGCTTTCTTATCTCCGCTCTATGCCTGGCGTGCCTACCGCAGCCCTGGGAGCCAGCCTGGCGCGCTGCTCTCCCCGCGCCGGGAAGCCCTCGCCGCCTTGCGGCTGTGCCCTCTTTCACCGGGCTTTGGTAGTGTGGGTGGCGCGTGCAACTGGTTATGGGAAGTGGCGCGTGCCGTGGAGTCAACGGCCCACCGTGGCAAGCTGCCTCCACCTCCCCCCCCTGTTTTTCTTCCAAGGCTGCGACGGTTGGTTGCTCTTCTCCTCCTGCGGCCCCTGCGTCCGCTTATCGGCGCCGCGGAGACAAGTGGCTCGGCGACGAGTGCAAGTGCGGCGAGCAGCGCTGCGCTGACGATCGCAGTAAGGCCCAACACCACTGACCCAAGCGCAACGGGGCTGCGCAGCACGTCGCCGACCAGCACAGCCAAGACAAACGGCGCGGCAACGAGCAACAGTGAGACTAGTAGCACGACGTTGATGAGCACCGCGGGCTCCAGCGCAACGGAGTCGAGGGGCGCGTCGCTGACCAGCGCCACCGCGACAAGCAGCGCGGCAACGATCGCCGGGGAGTCGTGCAGAACGATGTTGTTGAGCACGCCAGGGCCCACTTGCATGGGCTCCCGCTCAGCGGGGTCGAGCAGCGCGTCGCCGACCAGTAGCGCTGGGACAGGCAGCGCGGCAACGTGGCCTGGTGCTCTCACCTCAGCTACCTGGGGCGCTCCGGCGCGCAGGGTACATAGTCGATAGGAGCGTGTCGCTTTCCGCGGGGGCTTAGTTGGCACAGTCAGGGTTCGCATAGCCAGGGTTGGCGCAGTCATGGTTGGCATGGCCAGCGCCGTCGGACATGACGCAGCCACGATTGGCATAGTGAGAAATTGCTCGAGTAAAGGTTCTACCGTTCTCCTCCTCTCCTCTCGCGCCGTGTGCCTGGCGTGCGCTTCCTTTCCTCCCCTCTTGCGTCCTAATGCTGCAACGGTTAGCTGTCGCTCCGGGGTGCCTGCCGTGCATGGCGTGCACTTCCCTTCCTCTCCTTTGTTTCACCGGGTGTATCCCACGCGGCGGGGGCTGCCGCCAATACCGCTGTCGGTTGGTGATCTGACAGCCTGAATTCCATGCCAGGATCACACTGGGAATGGGCGGTCAGGTGCCCCCTGGCATGCTCCTGGCTGGTGTCGGCCTTCACTGATGGCCGAACGGGTTCAGTGGGATCTCGCTGCGCTGCCGTCCTCTACGGTGCAAGGACTTCGTGTTCGGCATGCGCGGCTCTGCGCGCCCGTCGGCTGCTTTCTCCTGCAAGGGCCCGCTCTCGATAAGTGCCACTGCTGTACAAAAAAGAGTTACTGCCGTTTGCAGTCCTATCTGTGACGAGGTTGCCCCTCTTCACTCTTGCGCTGACACAATGTTTCGACATTTGTGTTCGTCCACGTCACGGATGTCATCTGGGAGTGCTTGTCGGTCTCGTTCGTCTATGACGTTGCCGTCTGACTGACTCACACCGAGTGATCGACCTCTGCGTGATTTTTGTCGCGCCGCCGCGCCATTCTGGCTGCGGCCTGCCCGACTTCCAGCCCCGCGGCCAGCCCTGCGGCCAGCCCCTCGGCTAACCCGATTGTCAGTCCCACGGCCAGCCCCACGGCCAGCCTTACGGCCAGTCCCACGGCCGGCCCCGCGGCCGCCCCAACGGCCTGCCCCGCGGCCAGCCCGACGGCCAGCCCGACGGTCAGCCCGACTGCCAGCCTCACTTCATGGCCAGCCCCACGACCAGCCCGACCGCCAGCCCCTTGGCCAGCCCCACGGCCATTCTGACTGCCAGCCCCGCTGCCGGCCCGACGGCCAATCCCACGACCATCCCTACAGCCAGCCCTTCGACCAGTCCGACTGCCAGCCCGACTGCCAGCCTGGTGAACTGGCCCCTCTTCGTGACGTCGCCTGACTCACGCGCGCCGTGCCGCGGGCACTTGGCCAGAAGTTATCACAGCCCTCAGCCGCTTGCTGCGCTGCCCCTTCTCTGTCCCTGTCGCCCAGTAGTATTCGTGCTGGCTTCGAGCCTGGTAAGGCACCCTGGCGTCCAGGTGACTTGCGCGTCGACCAGCTCCGGCGGCACTTGCGTGTTCCTGGCCTCTGGTCCTCAGACACCTCCACAGCTTGGCCGCGTTTGCAGCTGCCGCCTGCATGGTGGGATTCGCCCCTACGTGGATTGCTCAAGAGTGTTTCTGCCTTCTTGTTCAGCCATGTGAGGTGGTCGCCGTTGGCATGCAGCACTGGTGCGCTGGTCTGCTTGCGCAGCCCCGCGATTTGCCGCGCTCGGTGGCACGACTACCTCTCTGGTGGTCTCGCCTTTGGGATGGCTGCACCTCGGCCGCCTGGCTTTCCTGGCAGCTCCTGCAGCCTGCCTCGACCCCCGGCGCCGCTCAGCGTCCCTCTGCGGCAGCTTTTGCAGCCGTGAGTGCGCTCGCTGGTTAATTAGGTTCCGCCCGTAGCCCGGGTCGACCCTTGACGCCGCCTGCGCCTTCGCTTGCGGTCGCGACGGAAAAGTGCCCCCCCAGCCCATCCAGAAACGATGCCCAGGCGAGTTGCCTTTCAGAGTCTCCTCGGGTGTCTCTTGGAAGCTTTCTGGAGGCCTCTTGGCGGTTCTGGAGGCCTTGCGGAGCGTCTTGGATGCCTCGAGGAGCCTCTTGGGGCCTTTTTGTGTTTCGTGGTGGCCTCTTGAGGGCCTCTTGGGCTCTTGGGGCCATCTAGGAGGAGATCGATCGAACAAGGGGGAGTTTTGATTGCGGCGCCCCTCGAGAGTCATGAACCTCTTTTGGAGTGCTCTTGGGGCGGCTTGGATTCTCTTGGGGCCCTCTTTGGCCCTCTTGGTGCCAACTTGAGTTTTTGGAAGGCCATGGAAAAACAAAACGGCGAGAAGGCGCAAATCGTTGTTAATCCTTAGATGTTTGAAGGATTTCGGCCTCTTGGCGGCCTCCGTGAGACGCTCAGTGACCACTCGGAACCGTCTTGGGGCGGTCTTGAGGCCTTCTGGAGCATCTTGGGGGCCATCTTGAGGCATGTTGGGTTATCTTGCGCCATCGTGGAGGTCATCCTGGGCACCCTGAGGCCCTTGTGGAGCCGTCTCGGGCCATTTTGGACGCTCCAACGCTTCGCGACCCCCCCCCTCCAGGTCCAGGGGAGGAGGTAGGGGGAGGGGTCAAGTTACCCCCTCCCCGCCCGCAAGCGGTCTCGCTCACTCCCACCCGCCCTCCCAACACATACGTGGCACCCGAGTCTGGCCCGAGCCTCACGCCGCCGCCGCCGCCGTCTCCGCGCCGCCGCCGCCCGCCGCCGCCGCCGCCGCCCGCCGCTGCCGCCGCCGCCGGCGCCGCCGCCGCTGCCGCCGCCCGCCGCCGCCGCCGCCGCCGCCGCTGCCGCCGCCGCCCCCGCTGCCAAACCCCCGCCGCCGCCGCCGCCGCCGCAGCTGCCGCGGCCGCCGCCGCCGCCGCCGCCGCAGCCGCCGTAGCCGCCGCCGCCGCCGCCAAGTGTCCTCTGCCGCTGCCGCCGCCGCCGCAGCCGCCGCAGCCGCCGCCGCCGCCGCCTCAGCCGCCGCCGCCGCCGCCGTCGCCGCCGCCGCCGCCGCCGCCGCCGCCGCCGCCCCCCGCTGCCAGACCGCCGCCGCCGCCGCAGCCGCTGCCGCTGCCGCTGCCGCCGCCGCTGTCGCCGCGGCCGGAAAACCTGAACTCAGACAACAAGGACCTGTTCCCGCGCATGGCAGTGCGCCTCGCACACGAGGATAAGGTTCAGGGCAGCGTGGCCAAAACGATCACCCCCGCAGCCAAGTGCGCCAATATGTACAACGTACCGGAGGACGACGTCACCGCGGGGCATGCGAGCCGGTTCCGCAAGTTTCGCGCGGAAGTCGCTACCGAGGCAAAACTTATCTTGGCCACGCACGAAGCGGGGGCCGACCTCCGGGAGAAGACGTTCCTCATATGTATCTTCGACGAGGCAGGACAAACGCCGTCAGATGCGGGGCCAGGACGGTTCTCTTCGGTGACTAGCGGCAGTTGTGCCCGACGGTCAAATCCCAGCAGGCACTTCAGTGGGGGCTAGGTGTTTCCGTTCTCACCAAGTACGTAGCAGCCATAGGAGACATCCCCGAGTGCAACGTCACGCTCGAGGAGTGCTATCGGATCCATCCGTCCCGCTCGCGTGGCCCTCGCTCACGTTCTACGGGGGCAGACTGATCTCCGCCATCCTGGACCCCTTGCTGCAGCGGCCATGCGCTGAAGGACTGGAGTGGCCATTCGCGCGACCGCTGTCCGACCAAGAATGCGAAGTAACGATGAGCGAGGACGGCAACGACGAGCCTGATGACTCCGTGATCGACACCACAGGCGGATTCAGGAGCAAGGCAGCGTGCGTGGCCCCGAAAGGGAGCAGCGGCACCGGCTACGACCGGCATCGCTTCGTGCTCGCCCTCATCCCCTCGCAAGGGGTTCAGTCCAAGTTCCAGGACGGCTGCGAGAACATCCACGAGGCGCGCGCAGTGGTTGCATTGGTGAGTGCCCTCGCACCATGGGTGAGACGGACCAAGAGCACCATCCTCATACTGTTGGCGTACGAGCTC